TATCAAAATATTAGGCCAATCGAACAATGATAGCTAATTTTACAGCCATCCTGCTCAAAACACGGATATTTTCCCAATCAAGTAATTTGATTGGCCATCAGAAAATCCGAGGAGACCATGCCCTCTGGGTTTTCAATCCCAGCATAATGAGCAGACTCTCAGGAAAAACGGCTGAGAATTGATCCCAACAGAGCCATCTGACACAAAATGCATTGAAAAAAAAAAAAAACAGGCTGCGCCCTAAGTTCCGCAAATCTATATTCAAAATCCTATCTTTGATAATTCATAATTCATTGTTTCTGTCAAATTTGCCTTCACCTGGTTGTCGAGCCTCCATCCTGTTTGGGAGCCACTCTAAGTGTAATATCGAAATCATTTCAAATGCCTGGTGCTTTCTCGCTCAGTGTCATTATTATTTTCTCTCATGTGCAACAGCCTCTGCATTCAGTAGCATGACTCCACCAAACCGCTGCGATCTTACTTAATTCATGCAAGAATTCAAGTCCCCGGCATGAAATAACCTATGTTGCCGGGGACTCCATTCAAGACTCACATATGAGTACCCAGTTGAGGTACTTACATAGTTGCACTCAAGTTGCGCCCAACGCCGCAAGGATCCAACATCTCAACAATCTAACAGTTACGCGGAAAGTTGGCTGATAGCTCGACATTTCGACATTTTTCAGCACGACATCTCGACGATTCAGTGGAGTCGTTGACGGCAGTTGGCGGCATGTAATACAGATGCCCTCATTCAGGAGCACTCTTTGGACCTCAAAGGTGTGCTAAATCTGCCTTCGTCTCCTCTCTTACATCCACCGGTAACTTATCTGCTGAACAAAGAATTTGTTTCAACATCACAGTTGAGCCGAATGCACCAATTCAAGATCACAGCAAGCTGTGGAGCAATGTGTCGTTCGGACTATCGGACCGGTTTGACTCGAGACAAACGGTGTTCGATTGTAATATAGACTAGCAGTTACCCGTGCTACGCCACGGCGAACCAAAGTCAACATGTCAACGGTTACATCTATTGCCCAAATTCCCAATTTGAGGGTGCCGCTCGTCGCCGACCTTCGGTCGACTCCTCGCGGCCTGGTGAGCAGTTGAATTGTGAATGGTTCAACGCAAAAAGTGGATCACGACACATCTACCTAGACTCACCCTCATTCACACTTGACTTCGGTATTGAAAAGTTCACATTGATGATTGATGAGCAGCTGAATGAGAGTTGGACCCTACCATTCATTTTTCTGTTTCTCGACATTGGTTTCACTTTTGTGAATCAAACACTTGCCTCCGTTTAAAACAACTATAGGAACCCAATTTTACTCTTTCCCCTCTGTCTACATGCTGCACAATTCAGGTTACTTCTGTCCACCCATCATCCCCGACATAGTTTTTCGTCGTTCTGATTTAGGCTCCTGATGATACCTGCCACTGTGAATAAAATACGAAACAAAAGTTCAACTGTGCACTCATCCAGTCTTCAATCGAAATGCTTGCCCCTACGGTCCACTCTCGTTGATGCTCCAGTGGCTTGACTGTTTTTTATTCATCACCTGGTTGCCATCTTGTAGAGAAGTCTACATATCTCGTCAGCTGCCAATTATCCCAAATCCACTTCGCATGTATATGACCCTGTCGAAGAACTTGCTCTCGGCAAAGCTAGTTTGCAACATCTCAACATTTTATAAATAGAAGTTCATTAGTTCAACAGTCGAGTGGAGCGGACGCGAAGAACCCGACATCTCGACGGATTTTGTGGAGCTGTGGAGCAATCGACAGCTCAGCCAGCCAATAAAAATGTCCCAAGTCAAATGAGCCAATGAGAATGTCGAACCTCAAAGGTGTTCGATTCTTATATAGATATATCAGCTCACACACTCAGACTTGCCGTCAGCGTATCAGCGGCGCCGACTATGGCTGCATTCCGCAATTCAGTCATTTCGGGTGAATTATAGCATGTGTCACGCTCTGTTCGCAAATTCGCCTTCGCCAGAGGGGCGCATGTACCGTGCGAGCCCCATTGGCAAAAAATTACTTTACAGCGGACGAGGTTCCTAAAAGCTCAGTGTCAGGCTTCTTGTACCGATTTTACCCCATGGGAAAAGCTACTGACAAATCTATCTTTGTTCAACACTCATATGTCCTTTTTTTTTTTTTTTTTTTTGTGGTACATTAGGCAGAAGCAACTAACCATAGGTTAGCCCGTCTGTTTTAGTAAAGCATGGAAAGTTAATTCCAAAGGAGTGGTTCACACCACCCAGAGAAATGTGTTAAGCACGCCCGTGTGGGAGTGTGGGACTGCCGCGCTACCCGATCCCGCCGCTGTTTGCCGTCGGGCCGGGGCTTGTGGAAAAGCGCGGCTACCCACTAAAACTCTGGGCTCCCGTAGCCAATTGTCCGGTAAGCTTCTTTCATCGTCTAGTATGCTGGACCAGGTGTCCAGTACCAGCTTCGGGGCTAGCGCGGGGCGTTTCCCTCGGCGCTGCCTGTTTGCCATGGTCTTATCCATCTGTAATTTGTGGTTAATTGCAAATTTCCACTTGTTGATAATTTCTTCTGCTGTGGCCGGCTCTCCGCCTCGCTTAATCACACGGTCGTTTCGGAGTAGCCATATCGCGTAAGCGGACTCGGACATCAATAGTGGCGGTCAGAGTAGAATTTAAATAGGCGATTCTGACGACGATTCTGGAGACGATTCTGAATTTAATTTATTGTGGGAGAATCGTCGTAACCCAGAATCGTCTCGAGAATCGCTGTAGAATCTCCTCTGGAGGAGCTTCTACAACGATTCTCGAACGCGATTCTGACTCTAATTTAATTTAAAGCCGATTCTGAGCGATTCTCACCCAAATCTGACGAAAATAAATCCCAGAATCGATGTCAGAATCGATGTCAGAATCGACGTGAGAATCGCCGAGAATCGTCTACTCTGACCGTCACTAATATCCGATATAGCCGCTGTGCGCCACTGTCAATCCTGCCCTTCTCATCGCGGAACTCGGCGAGGCCGCAGCCTAACACCGTGCCCAACGAGACCTCGAGCCAATGGGCTTCTCTTTCCAGCCATAGGGCCTTTGCTGCCCCCCATACTATCTCCTGGCCGGGGCTGTCACATTTGACTAAAATATGCTCGATGTCTTTCAGCACCCCGCAATTTCCGCACATTGCTGTCCTCACATTCGGGAATGTGTTTCCACCATGACCCTGCCCTGTGCGCATTGTGGATATTCCGCCAGATGAATTGGCTAGTGCGCAGTAGAATGTCTTTAACTTCGACGGATGCCCATATTTCGGCATCCGTCACTCGTCTGCCAAACACGTTGTACGCGGCTCACGTATTATCTCCAAATTCTTCACTGTTGCTGCTCGAGGCATGAGTTTTTTGGTTTTCTTCTCTCTTATGGCACGATAGAAATGTTTCTGACGATTTCCTTGTAGGCTCATTCCGGGGAGGGCCATTCCCTGTGGCAGAGTCATATCCCATTCTGTGTGGTTCGGGGCCCTAGCCGCCCTCTTGGCTGCTGCAGCGGCAAGTCTGCAGAGCGCCCTGGTGGGCGTGTCCGGCGTCGCCACCTCGAAGAAGGTTGGTGCCTTCCGTGCTTTTAATTTGGCTGCGACACATCTCAGGACATCACGATTTGGTACACCGACCCAGCCTTCATGCTCCCAGTGCTGGAGCTTCTTGTTCATCGCGTCACTCGCATACTTTTGGGCACTAACTAAGGTGAGCACTGCGTACGCCGAATGGCGTCTAATGCCACGTAGAACTCAGCTGCGTACTGGGACTGTGGGTCCCCGTCTGGAATGCACCTTCCTGTGCTCAGGCTCCCAATCTGTATACCTCCGCGGCGGTGGCCTTCTCGTTCGCTGATGTATGTATAGTTCCCGCAATATAGACTATCGTCTTCTCGGGCGTCGGCTCTGTCTGCACCCTCCTTCGCACTCTTGTTTCGGGGCGTACTCGCGGCTCACCTTTAGGGTCTTGTTTTTTATGCTTGTTTGTAAACATGTTTATAAACAGCTGTTTATAAACCGGTTTTTAATCCCTCAGGGCAAAATGCCCTGTTTTTAATTATATAAGCATGGGCGAGGAGTCAACCCAGAGAACCACAAACTTGCCAGAATTTCCACCCGGTGGACAATGTTGAACTCAGGATTAGTTTCTTCAACCCATCGCCCATTGATTGCCAGTGTAGCAACACTGAAATGGGATTTTTTGATGCTTGGTCGCAGATAAATTGATGGGTGTTGGGTTGATAGGTTGGGTGAGAACCCCAAAGCACCTCTGAGTCACGCAGATTGGCCCGAGAACACCAAGATGCTTTCCTGCCTGATGGAAAGGTTGGTATGAAGAGCTTTGGAAGAGCTTCTGGAATGGGGAGACCAAAGAAAACTTGAATTTTCGGCTAAATTTGAGAGCCTGTTTATAAACACGTTTATAAACAGCCTTTTTACAAAGGAAAAATTATAAACGGTTTATAACCCCCTTGGGCATTAAAAACAAGACCCTACTCACCTTTTCGGTGCATCATTGCACACATACCCTCGGAAAGGCTCGTTATAGGTATTGGGGGCCTGAAAAGCTCCCTGCTCTCGTCTTCGCCTGTTGGCTCCTCTGCCTGTTGTGCATCATCTTCAGGCTTAGGCATCCATCGAGCGTGGATCTGACCCAGCCTGGACATTGCTTTTGTGGCACACGCATGGGGGTCTTCGTATCCTCGGGTATCGCGGTCGTCGTCGCAGTCATCGCATATGCAGGAGCTCGTCTTTGCGTGCAGGGTGTCCCCCAAACGTCGCGCGACATTGAGTCCGTCGCCTATCGTTGTGTCAGCATGGTTCCCCCTGAGACATGGCGCCTTTTTGCCGTTGTTGCTTCTCTTCGTCTTCCCCGGGGTGGTGGCATGGTGCCACAGCGGCATCATCTTCAGTATTTCCATGGAGGGGTTAACTGTCGCAAAGCTGATTCCACACGCAGAGACTATGAGGGATAAGTCTTCGTGGAGTACTGAACTTGCTCCCTACTGTTAGAAAGATGGGAGGCTGACTTTAGGGAGAGTCGGTGGTTCGAGCCCACCCGAAGACATCCGTTACGACGATTGCACAGTTCTTTTCCCCCTTCCCCTGGGAGTCTACAGCGAATGGCGGTGCTGAAAGCCAAGGCCCAAAGTTTTCCACACTGAGGCATCTGTAACACATTATCCCGCCCAAATTACTTGGGGTTCCTAGTCTGTAGTCGAAGCTCATTCCGCAAAGATTAATTTTCGGAACCTGAGCTCTCACCGATTTTTTCTGTCAATCCGCGGTTGCCCTGCACTTCTACCGCTCATTCATAGTGAAGACTCAAGCGCCACACGTTCAAGGAAGGCAGTGGAACTCAGAGAGTACGTCCAGAAATGATCAGATTTTAAGCTCACTCGAATTCACCCGCCAACAGGTACATGAGGGAAGTAGCTAGACGTATATGTCTTCGTGAAGTACTGAACTCGCTCGCCCTCCATTGGTGTAGCGTCACCTGATCTCCAGGAATGTCGGTGGTTCGAACCCCACCCGAAGACATGTGGCCACTTGTTTGAGTCCTTTTTCTCCACTAAAATTGTCTCCGTCTCCAGAGAGTTCAGTAAATTGGACCGAAGTGCTGAGATCAAACTCCATCCCCACGCATCCTGTGCGCTGTAGCCTGAATGACTATTAAAAAATTCGCCTTCGTTTAACATCGCAGGTACCAGTACAGGTACTTCATCAGGCCGACATGTAGTCAAGTTTGGCATCGTGGAGTATCGAAACTTGGTCCGCTTCCATAGCTGAGATCGCTGAGAGCTGCTGTCACGTTTGGGAGAATTGGTGGTTCGAGCGCCTCGAAGCCATTACCTGGTTTCTTTTTGCGTTCTGCTTGTCATCGCCGCCGAGAGAAACGCCTCTTATCGAGACGCGCTTGCGCTCCTGTTTTTGTCGCTGACGCACGAGGTACACACAAAGAGAGAGGGAGAGGATGGTAGCGACTGCGACGCCGCAATCGATGATAAATTCGCATGGTGCCAGGTTGCGCGCCGCGGTGGGACTTGACCTCAGGCTGCATGGAGAAAGACAGGAATGGCGCCGAGGTGCGTGACAACCACAGAGTCCAGTCGAGTGGAGGATCTTATCGTCAGTCACTCTGCATGCGTCGGGCAAGTGAGTTGGTGATGGAGGTACGCGTTAATAGTCAATGAAGACGTCAGTATCGCGAAAAGATAGGAAGCAGCCAAGCCGAGGAAGGGAAAGAGATGAGGGAAGGAAAGAAGAGAGGCACAAGTAAGAATAGTGTTCAAACTTCACCACGTCGACGATGAGCAAATCCAAGCACGTGTACATGACGTAGGAGACGATCCTGCGCACCTCCTGCGGTCGACGTCGGGAGCGATGGCGACGTATGTGACAATACCATCCGGCCACAGTGGAGTCCTCGGCGCGTAACACGCGGGGACCATCCTCGGCGGGGCTGACTTCTAGCGAGTCGTCCCTGAGTATTATCTGGTTTAGTATTCGAATGAATGGGGGACTCACCCTCAGAGTCGCTGCCGATCGGGATGGGCGCATCGCCCGGGAGGAACGTCGCGATGGAGACGACATTGTCGGCGTCCTCATCAACGCCCCACAGCTTCTGGCTGCGCCGCTGCGGGTTTTGCCGTTCCGGAGCTCTTATTTTTGAACCAGATCGTGGTCTCGCTGCGCCTCGATTGGAATCCGTATAGGTCCGCGGAAGCATAGTGGAGTCCATTTCCGGACGGATTTCCACTGGGAACCGTTGGATTCCAGTGGAAGTTGGCGGCCATCGGTTGCCGATGCCGACCAGTGCCAAAGATCGGTTGGATCAATGAACGGGAAACTTGCTAAGGGCTACCTAGGCAATGGGGGTTTGCCGCCATGCAGGTACACAAACGCGAGCACCCCATATTGGTCCACCGATCACTGAATCGATACCAAAGTATCGAGTTGAGCAATCATGCCGAAATCATGCCAGTACCAGTACAATGCCCGCAGGAGAGGCAATTCGATGTTGCAGTATCGGCCTGATTCTGATTCGCCCGATTTTTCATTCTATACTTTATTATCAATTTTCTGAACGCGTGGGCCCATAAATGGGAATTCCCGGTGTGACTGTTCTCTATCCAATGATTCCAAGATCGAACGAAACAAATAAATTTCCCCATTCACTGGGGTCTGGTAATCATAGGACACCTTTTCGTCCCGCTATCAAATCCGTGTAATGTAAAGCGGAACAGACCTCTCTCCACTCTGCACGATGGGCAGAAGGTTGTTCAGGTACGTCGGCCGGATCTTCTCGTCCACTACCTCTGCAAACGAATATTTGCCAACCAGGTGGGAGAAGATGACTTGCATTTCCAGGATTCTGTGCGTGGGCGTGGATTTGTAAAGATGAATTGCAAATGGAAAGAAACTCACGAAAAACGCCATCTTGATATGCGCCATTCAGTCGTCAATCTCTGGACGCAGGGAAGAAAAAATGCCTACCCAAGACATGTGCGAATACCTCCAGAGAAGCTCAAACTGTCGGCGGACCCGTTAGTCAGCGATAGCATGAATAGACCCGTTGGTTGCTTGAACGTACAGATTTGCGTACGGCCCAACTCCAACCGCAGCCTCACGGTTTACCGTACCATCCAGCCAGCGGTGGGGATTAAACTCGTCTGCGTCTGCGCCCCAGCGTGATTTGAGTCTGCTCGATTACAAATCAACGCTCCAACTAGTGTTTTACTAAACCAACCTGTGATACGACCCAATCCCAAGTGTTAAGAACTGGCCCTTCAGGATGGGTATCTGGCTCATTCGCTCCCCGGTGGTGGTAGTAATAGGCTGTGCCAAAGGGAGGGTCGTATCTTGGGTGGCAATGCGGTCCAGAAGAGGAGCCGCGGGGTAGAACCTGTTGGTCTCCTGGGGTGCGATGACTCAGTACCAGAGCCCATTTGAAGGACATTAGCCCACCTTGATAAAGGCATTTAGGAGTGGCATGCTGTCGTATGCAATACTTCCCCCGCTTGTTCCCAGCATGGAATGAATCTCATCGCGTAATTGGTCCTGAAATTGAGGGTTCCGGGCGAGTTCCAACAGCCCCCACGCGATAGTGTTGGCCTGGAGAATGATGAGACAAGAACAGTGAACAATGGAGGGCAAGATCTCACCGTTGTATCCTGGCCGGCGACCAGAAGAAGCCCAACTTGCTGAGTAACTTCTTTTTCGCTCAACTGCACGTTATCCACTGCGGTCCACGGACAGCCATAAGTTGTCCGTTCCAAGATAAGCATGCAAAAATAAGACTCACACAGGTGACTGAAAAGGTCATCATCCTTGCCCGCTCCTTTCTGCGCTGCATCCGCTCTCTCTTTTATAATTCGGTGTCCGATATTCTCTGCGAGGTATCGTCCCTCACGCATAGCCTTGAATGCCGAGGTAGGGAGGTACGTTGCCATGGCACGCAAGAGCCACAACGGAAGGCGGAGACTGAGCGCATCGACGAGAATCTGGGGTGCGGATCGAGAAGCACTTAATTTCCTGCAAGGTATTTCAGCTTCTGTCCTGGGTTCACGCTGAGGACATACATGACTTCAATGTTATTTGAAACGAAATCATTCCCCAAGTCCTCGATTGAGTATCGGAGAGCAGCTGGGGTATAATCAGTCTCCCGCAAAGTAATCATGATGTGCCACTGACCTTCGCTGATCGCTTGAAGAGTGGCCATGCTGAGAAGTGGGCAGACATTTGTCGGCGTGCCAAGGGAACCTTCCAGCCTTTCCGATACCTAAAAAATGTACATTGAATAAGGAACATTGGGTTGAAATGCATGCTCACCATCTCCGCTGCCTGCTCAAAAACTGTTTGATAGTTCCGCACAGCGGCAGCGGTGAACCCAAAGTTGAGAGCGCCACGCATTCGACGGTGCTCCTTGCCTGTGCCAGCCCAAAGTCTCTCTCATGTGCGACAGCCACGAAAGGAAAGGCAAAACTTGCCTTGAAGGGTTATCATGCTTTTTTCGGTAAACCATAATTTCAACAGGACATCCGTCACTCCACCGCGCTCAAAAATTGCGCTATTCAAGATGTACTGCATCGCGACGGGGTCAGCGACGAGGAGGCGGTCTTGCTGTCGAAATAAAGGATTTAAATATAATTAGAAGCGAGCAATTAACCAGCCGGGCTCACCCCGAGACACCCCTTGATTCGATACACGGAGCCAAATTTGTCTTGCCAGCGGAACTCATAGTCTCCGTACTTGGGGGGAATAATCAACTGCAGGATGTGCCCTGGAAGGTCATGCGAGGACATAAGTGGTATGTACTGTCTTCCCATTTGAAACACAAGCTCACCAAAGATCCACGAAGGGGATGGAGGCCCTGCGATATGCCGAAGAGTGTTCTGTCGTCGGAAAACTAAATGGAAAACTATGAAAAAGCTGATGGCGGCCAGAAGAATGGCATAATGAGGGGGATTCATTTCAATTCGAGAGATGAATTGAAAATGCTGGGTTGAGGACATGGGTGAGAGTGGGGAGCTCTGCACCTTTTAAACAGTGACTGTACGGCATCCGGAAGACCCAATTAGACAAGGTTGGCCTCACTCAGTAACCCAGCCGTTCCCGCGGAGATCTCCGTGACGGACGGCAGAGATTGAAAATGAAGGCGCAGAGATTCCACTCAATGGGGTGTTGCTATACCGCATGCCCCAGTCCTCTGTGATCTCCGCGCCTCATTTTCGTTCTGCGGTGTCAATCATGGAGATCTCCGCCGGAGTGGCCGGGCTGCCGAGACAGAATAGTGGCTCCTTTTATGCGCGCAGCGCGTCAGAATGTAGGAAAAAGCAAACAATGCAAAAACAAACCTTGAGGGTTGATGAGGCGACGACTTGTGAGCATGCGGGTTAGGTCCCTTTGCTCCAAATACTCCGAACTTATACCCCCATTTTATCTAGTGAATCTCAGCGCCGGGCTTGGGCAGGTTTTGTGCTTGAGATTTCCCAGGCCCAAGCCCATGCAGCACGGCTTCAAGCCCGAGGCCCGCTCTTGAGCGGGGCCTAAGTTGTGGGATGAGAA